CTGCTGAATGGGGGGAGCTCCTGGGCAGGAGGGGAAGTACTGGTACGAGCTCCAGTAGCACCTCTCCGGAGGCGGCAGTACTGTAGGTACCTCTCCTGCAGCTGCCGGGAGGAGAGGGCTCCTCCAGGTGTAGCACGCTCAGTCTCAGCACCCCCAGACTCAGCACCCCCAGACTCAGCACCCCCAGGCTCAGCACCCCCAGACTCAGCACCCCCAGGCTCAGCACCCCCAGGCTCCGCACCACCAGGCTCAGCACCCCCAGACTCAGCACCCCCAGGCTCCGCACCCCCAGGCTCAGTACCCTCAGACTCTCACGTTCAGTCTCAGCACCCCCAGCAGGACGAGAGTCAACAGCTACCAGCGACAGGCTCAACCGGGTCTACCTGGGACACACCTGAGGGAGCGGCACCCTGAGGGGGAAGGGGGTCTGGTACCTCAGCACCTGGAGCGAGGAAGAGAGGCGGGGGGGGGAGCGGGGCAGTGCGGTAGGGGAAGAGGCGGTAGTAGGGGACGGACTCGTCAAAAGTGACGTCCTGAGAGGCCAGGACACGACGCGAGGTGGCGTGGTAGAACTGCCAACCAGGCGCGTCCGGGACAAAGCCAAGGAAGACACAGGGGACAGCTCGACGGGAGAGCTTGTCCGCGGACGTATCGCGAACAAAAGCTCGAGATCCCCAGACCCGAAAACGCGACGCATCGCCAGCCTCTCCCGTCCAACGCAGTGTCGGAGAAGTCTCCGGTAAGGAGACACGGGGCCAGAGGTTGAGCTGATGCGCAGCGTATCGGACTGCAAACGGCCACAGAAAGTGGTGGCAGCCGTATGAACCAAGGAGGTACGAGCGACCTCCATGACCAAGCCAATGCGGCGCTCAGCAACCCCATTCTGCTGTGGAGAGGCCGGAAGCGTGAACAGTCTGCTCAATGCCCTCCTGCTGACAGAAGGTCTCCAAGAGGCCAGAGGAAAACTCCCCACCTCTGTCAGAGTGCAGACGCAGACAGGAAAGTCGGAGCGGAAACGCTCACTGAGTTGGAGACGAGATCTGCGGATCCAAGGGATCAAGACATCAGGGACGTCACCCTTGGTGCGCAAGGGGAAGACCGTGGTGTAGCGCGAGAAGTCGTCAACAACAATCAGGAAGTACCTCTCCTGACCCTGACCACGGACGCGGGCTGGGCCCCACACGTCCATGTGGAGCGTCTGCAAAGGAGCAGTCGTCGGGGGAAAGGAGGAGGAGTGAGGTGCGGCGCGCTGCCGCCCCTCGACACAGGGAAGACAGGGAGGAGCAGGCGAGGGTGGGAGGGGAGGGAGAACCCTGGGAAGACCAGCAACAAGGTCCCGTTTGTGCATGGCCCGAAGGCGCTGCACAGACGGGTGACCAAGGCGGTGGTGCCAGAGGACAGTCTCATGCGCCAGAGAGCGACACGAGCAGGGGGCGGACAACTGACCTGACGCAGACGCAGACGCGGACGCAGCTACCTGAGGGGACTCAGTGGTCAGTGTGTACAGGTCCGACCCCGGCTGCCGAGTGAAGGTAGCCAGGTGACGGCCCGTCCGAGCACACGTGCAGTGGGTCACGCGCTCGTAAGCAGGGGTGAACTGGTGAACACCCCCGTCCTGGAGCGCACTACCTGCCACCAAGTTCGTAGAGAACGAGGGGAGGTAGAGGCCTGACAGTGTGCCTGACGGGACCGCAGGACAAGGAAGGACAGTGGAGGAGGTCGCAACGACCGGACCCCCAGAGGGGTCAGCGAGGGAGACAGCAACTGGCCGAGCAAGCGGCTCAAGGACAGTGCGGTCACGAAAGAAACAGCGAGAAGCACCTGAGTCCAGTGTGAAGGTGTGCAGTGCTGCAGTCGACTCAGTACCAGAGGGCACGGACTCACTAGCACCTAGAGCAGCAGCCTCACCAGGACCTGGGGCAGCAGACTCACTAGCACCTAGAGCGGCAGCCGGACTGGTCTGAATGCCCGGATCGGGCGGAACACGCAAGTACTGAGCACCCTCTCCACTAGTAAACATCGCATACATGGCAGTGAGAATAGCATCAAAGTCTAAAGCCCAGATATCAACTCCCTTCTTCTCCAGATCAGCCCAGCGGGGCAGCTCAGTGGCATCAGGAAACTGGGCACGCCACGCGTCAGTAAGGCGCGCGAAACAGCGCTGTGTGGGATGCGGCCTCCCACACTGCTGGCCAGTGCGGTCACCAGTGCGAATGACGTACGTGCAGGTAAAGCCACGCTGCGCATACCACTCACGGGCGGCCTGAAGCGACGGGGCGGGCTGCTGACTCTGGCCACCGCCAGCGCCTCCACGACCACCACTGCCGCCGCCACCGCCTCGGCCCCGCCACCCCTGCCGCTGCCACGACCACCTCCGCCTCCGCTGCCGCCTCCACCCCTGCCGCCACTCCCGCCGCTGCTGTCACCACCCCCACTGCCGCCACTAGCCTCCCCAGCCGCTCCTCCACTCCCACCGCCTCCACCCCCACCTCCTCCGCCGCCACCCCTCACCCTTGCCCCCTTTGCTCTTGCGGCGCCCGCTCGAAGCAGACGCGGCCCCGACCTTCTCAGCACCAAGGAGGTCGACAGCAGCAGCAGAGGCGACAGAGGGGAGGAGAGGGGAAGGGGAACACCCCTCAAAGAACGGGGTGCGGGGGTCGCCACGAGAGGTGCCTACAGCGACGATGCTCGCCTCAGCTGCAAGCAGTTCCTTCTCGAGGAGGGCAATGGTGAGTTCAGTGGGGGAGCGAGAGAGGAAGTGGTCCCTGACTGTGCGCAGGGAGTCGGGGAGGCGGGTGACTATGTGGTAGAGAGTGATCCAGAGCGGGGGGGGGTTGCTGGTGAGGAACTCGTCAGGCATAGCAGCGCGAAAGCGGGCCTCACTGGTCTTAAGGTGGGTGATGAGGTCAGCAACTGTCTGAAAGGAGGCCAGGTCGGGGAACAGGTAGGGGAGAGTGAGGCGGCCTAGTGTGGCAGAAGCGGGGGAGGAGTAGCGAGCGACTACAGCAGTGTACAGGTCCTTAGCAGTTTTGTGCTGGCCAAAGTGCTCGCGCTCGTCGATCGGTAGGGAGTTACGAATAGCGAAGCGAGCGTGGGCGTCACGAGTCTGCCACTGTGAGCGCTGAGTGCTGTCAGCAGTGGTAGGAGGGGCAGTAGCGTTGCCTAGGGCGTGATCGTACAGTGAAACGTCCTCCTTAGCAGTGAGCTGTAGAAAGAGGTGGAGGTCATCGAGCCAGGTTTCGAACTTCACTGGACGGCCCTCAGCATCGAAAGTAAGTACAGTAGGAGTAGCCATAGCGGCAGTAGCAGTAGCGGTAGAAACAGTAAGAATGAGGCCGCAGGGAAGCTGTGGGCAGTGTCAGCACACGGGCGGCAGCAGCTGATGCGCACGGGCGGGAGCGGCAGTGGGCGCAGAAGCGGCGGCCGCAGTGGGAGCGAGTGCAGCAGCGGCAGCGGTAGCAGGCGCAACAGGAGCGCACGGGCGGTAGCTGTCAGAAATAACGGACTGGAATGATGAACTAGCAAGAATTGGGAGTACAAATATGAAACCCTAATGCTGTGACCCCCCTATAGGCTAACCCACTACAGCCTACACAAATACAACATGTACAATGTTTGACACACCCCCATAGGCAAAGTGGGGGAGACCTAGGGGTCACAAGACCAGTCAAGGCAAAGCAAGGCAACAACAAGCTCAGGGTGGATCTCAAGGATTCCACACAAATTCTGAGCACAAGCTAGTGGTCACAAGACCAGTTCACACGCAGGTTTATAACAGAGCCAGAGATACAGTGATCACAACCTAGCAAGAGTAAACATGCAGGTACAGATATATATAGTGATCACAGTACAAGCAAAGTCAAGAGGTAAGTAAGTGAGGTCCAGTAGGCACAAGGCCTAGTAGAGTGCAGAAGCGCTGATGGTCACGAGGCTGAAGCGCCTTGGTGAACACATCAGCAGTGTTGGCCTCAGTGGCCACGTAGCGAATACAAAGCTGACCGCGCTGCTGCAGCTCACGAGCAAGGAAGTACCTCAGGGCGATGTGCTTCGTTCTGTGCTCCAGTCTGTGCTCCTCACACAAGGCAATGGCAGCCTTGTTGTCGACGTACAGTACTGGAGGAGAACGAGGCGGCTCTCCGAGGTCGGTCAGCAGGTAGGTCAGCCAGCGTAGCTCCTGGGCAGCCATGGCTGTAGCGTAGATCTCAGCCTCGCAACTGGAGCCGAGAACAGAAGAAGAGCGTGTAGAGCGCCAAGAAACTGAGCCAGAGCCAAGACTGAAGGTGTAACCCTGAGACGACCGCTGAGTGGCCTGGTCGTCTGCCCAAGAAGCGTCTGAGTGCCCTGTGAGAACAACTCGGTCTCGCCCTCCAAGCACAAGCCCCATGCCCGACGTACTGCACAAGTAGCGCAACACCCTCTTAGCGGCATCCATGTGCTCCTTCCTGTGACGGCCAGGAGCGACATAGCGTGCAAGGATGCTAAGAGGGTATGCAAGGTCAGGTCGAGTGCAGGTCATCAGGTACATGAGGCAGCCCACAAGCTCTGGATACGGGCCACTCGGCTCTACGGACTCATCCGAAGGCAGAGCTGAGAGCGAGTGACCGGTAGGCAGAGGAGTGGACTGAGGCGAGGAGTACGTGAAGCGGAAGCGCTGGAGAACCTGCTGCACCATGTGTGACTGAGTCAGGGTGATGGTGCGCCGTGCTCTGTCCCGGGTGATCCGCAAGCCAAGATAACTTGTCAGCTCACCCAGGTCTGTGCACGTGTGTCTCCTCTGCAGCTCCGACTTCACGTAGGCGAGTCCTGCAGTGTCAGCAGTGGCAAAGACCAAGTCGTCGACGTACACGAGGATGTAGAACGGCGGCAGCGAAGTGTCGGTGCGCAGGAACAGCGACGGGTCAGCTGTAGAAGGCGCGAACCCAAGAGCCGCAAGTGTAGTCCTCAGTGTGTCGTGCCACTCACGCGGAGCCTGGCGGAGACCGTAGACCGGCCGCTGAAGCCTCCACTGGGTACCAGGAGGAAACGACCCAGTGAAGCCAGGTGGGCGGCGCAGCCATATCTCCTCGTGCAGACTGCCCTGCAAGAAAGCAGTGCTGAAGTCAAGTGAGTGAAGCTCGTAGTCGCGGTGAGCGGCTATGTGCAGCAGCACCCGAAGAGTAGTCATCTTCGGGGTGGGGGAGAAGGTCTGGAAGAAGTCAACTCCCTCTCGCTGACTGAAGCCTCGAGCCACGTAACGCGCCTTGAAGACAGGCGGAGAACCCGGCGGCCGCTTCACCCTGAAAATCCACATGCCACTGACGATGTTCGCCCCAGGAGGGGGAACCTCGTCGACGTAGGTGCGTGTGGACTTCCAGGAAGCCATCTCGGCGTCCATGGCTGTCTGCCACTGAGAGGAGTAGGGACCCGCCATCGCCTCAGCGTAAGTGCGCGGGGTCGGGATGTCTGGTGCATCCGGGTCTCCCTCAGGGGCAACTAGCAAGGACACGAGACGGGGCAAAGCAGCAGCAAGACACTGGAACTCCTCCTGTCTGTCCTCAAGGACGTCCGTGCCAAGAGCACACTCACCCCCGACGGACGGAGGACAGACAGACTCACACTCACACTCAGCAACAAGGCTAGTAGCGTAGTCTAGACGACAGGCAGCAGCAAAGTCAACCAACTCAGCGACCAGAGCAGACGCAGCCGAGGACTCAAAGGTAGGGTCAGTGACAACAGTAGCAAGGAGACGCGTGACAGTAGGGTGCTCAGCACGATACCGGTCAGACTCAGGGTCCGGAACGTCAGGCAAAGAGGACGCAGGAGGAGACGGTAGAGGGACACGCTGAGGAGCAGTAGAGGGACGCAGAGTCATGTAGTGAGTGCCTGGGACAGGAGGAGGACGCTCACGACGGACACGACTACCAGTGCGAGGAGGACGAACAGGCGACACAGGACGAGACTCAGGCTCACGACGCTCTGTAAGACCTCCTGTGGGACCAGTGTAAGGAGAGGGAGCAGGGAGAGGCGAGGTAGGCGGTAACTGTGACTGCGGCTGGACAGGCAGAGGACACTCTACGGAGGGAGGAGGACAAGGAGGAGGAGCCTGCCCAAGAACCTGCTGAAGGAGCGGTACGAAGTACGGTCGCGGCCGCGCAGCGTCTCCAGAAGCAGAGGAGACTCCAGCGGCCGGGTCCTCAGCACCAGTAGTAGCTCCAACGCCCGGGTCCTCAGCAGCAGCAGCAGCGCCACCGCTCGGGTCCTCAGCTCCAGCAGCAGCTCCACCGTCCGAGTCCTCAGCACCAGCAGCAGCTCCACCGTCCGGGTCCTCAGCACCAGTAGTAGCTCCAACGCCCGGGTCCTCAGCAGCAGCAGCAGCGCCACCGCTCGGGTCCTCAGCTCCAGCAGCAGCTCCACCGTCCGAGTCCTCAGCACCAGCAGCAGCTCCACCGTCCGGGTCCTCAGCACCAGCAGCAGCGCCACCGCCCGGGTCCGCAGCTCCAGCAGCAGCTCCAACGTCCAGGTCCTCAGCACCAGCAGCAGCGCCACCCCCAGGGTCCGCAGCACCAGGAGCACCACTCCGAAGACTGCAGCGCCGTGTGTACCACTCGCGGATCTGCTGAATGGGGGGGAGCTCCTGGGTAGCAAGGGAAGTACCGGGACGAGCTCCAGCAGCACCTCTCCGGAGGCGGCAGTACTCGAGGTACCTCTCCTGCAGCTGCTGGGAGGAGAGGGCTCCTCCAGGTGTAGCACGCTCAGGCTCAGCACCCCCAGACTCAGCACCCCAGACTCAGCACCCCCAGGCTCAGCACCTCCAGGCTCCGCACCTCCAGACTCAGCACCCCCAGGCTCAGCACCCCCAGGCTCCGCACCCCCAGACTCAGCACTCCCAGGCTCAGCACCCCCAGACGCAGCACCCCCAGGCTCAGCACCCCCAGACGCAGCACGCGAGTCAATAGCTACCTCGACAGGCTCACCCGGGTCTACCTGGGACACACCTGAGGGAGCGGCACCCTGAGGGGGGAGGGGGTCTGGTACCTCAGCACCTGGAGCGAGGAAGAGAGGCGGGGGGGGGAGCGGGGCAGTGCGGTAGGGGAAGAGGCGGTAGTAGGGGACGGACTCGTCAAAAGTGACGTCCTGAGAGGCCAGGACACGCCGCGAGGTGGGGTGGTAGAACTGCCAACCAGGGGCGTCTGGGACAAAGCCAAGAAAGACGCAGGGGACAGCGCGACGGGAGAGCTTGTCCGCGGACGTGTCGCGGACAAAAGCTCGGGATCCCCAGACCCGAAAACGCGACGCATCGCCAGCCTCTCCCGTCCAACGCAGTGTCGGAGAAGTCTCGGGCAAGGAGACACGGGGCCAGAGGTTGAGCTGATGCGCAGCGTATCGGACTGCAAACGGCCACAGAAAGTGGGGGCAGCCGCATGAACCAAGGAGGTACGAGCGACCTCCATGACCAAGCCAATGCGGCGCTCAGCAACCCCATTCTGCTGTGGAGAGGCCGGAAGCGTGAACGACTGCTCAATACCCTCCTGCTGACAGAAGGCCTCCAAGAGGCCAGAGGAAAACTCTCCACCTCTGTCAGAGTGCAGACGCAGGACAGGGAAGTCGGAGCGGAAACGCTCACTGAGCTGGAGACGAGATCTGCGGATCCAAGGGATCAAGACATCAGGGACGTCACCCTTGGTGCGCAAGGGGAAGACCGTGGTGTAGCGCGAGAAGTCGTCAACAACAATCAGGAAGTACCTCTCCTGACCCTGGCCACGGACGCGGGCTGGGCCCCACACGTCCATGTGGAGCGTCTGCAAAGGAGCAGTCGTCGGGGGAAAGGAGGAGGAGTGAGGAGCGGCGCGCTGCCGCCCCTCGACACAGGGAAGACAGGGAGGAGCAGGCGAGGCTGGAAGGGGAGGGAGCACCCTGGGAAGACCAGCAACAAGGTCCCGTTTGTGCATGGCCCGAAGGCGCTGCACAGACGGGTGACCAAGGCGGTGGTGCCAAAGGACAGTCTCATGCGCCAGAGAGCGACACGAGCAGGGGGCAGACAGCTGACCTGACGCAGACGCAGACGCGGACGCAGCTACCTGAGGGGACTCAGTGGTCAGTGTGTAAAGGTCCGACCCCGGCTCCCGAGTGAAGGTAGCCAGGTGGCGACCCGTCCGAGCACACGTGCAGTGTGTCACGCGCTCGTAGGCAGGGGTGAACTGGTGAACACCCCCGTCCTGGAGCGCACTACCTGCCACCAAGTTCGTAGAGAACGAGGGAGGTAGAGACCTGACAGCGTGCCGGACGGGACCGCCGGACAAGGAAGGACAGTGGAGGAGGTCGCAATGACCGGACCCCCAGAGGGGTCAGCAAGGGAGACAGCAACTGGCCGAGCGAGTGGCTCAAGGACAGTGCGGTCACGAAAGAAAGAGCGAGAAGCACCTGAGTCCAGGGTGAAGGTGTGCAGTGCTGCAGTCGACTCAGTACCAGGGGGCACGGACGCACGAGCACCTAGGGCTGCAGCCTCACCAGGACCTGTGGGAGCAGACGCACTAGCACCTAGAGCGGCAGCCGGACTGGCCTGAATGCCCGGGTCGGGCGGAACACGCAAGTACTGAGCACCCTCTCCACTAATAGACATCGCATACATGGCAGTGAGAATAGCATCAAAGTCTAAAGCCCAAATATCAACACCCCTCTTTTCCAGATCAGCCCAGCGCGGCAGCTCAGTGGCAGCAGGAAACTGAGTGCGCCACGCGTCGTTAAGGCGCGCGAAGCAGCGCTGCGTAGGGTGCGGCCTCCCACACTGCTGGCCGCTGCGGTCACCTGTGCGAATGACGTACGTGCAGGTAAAGCTACGCTGCGCATACCACTCACGGGCGGCCTGAAGCGTCGGGGCGGGCTGCTGACTCTGCCCTCCGCCAGTGCCTCCACGACCACCACCCCCACCGCCGCCGCCCCGGCCACCTCCACCCCTGCCGCCGCCACGACCACCTCCGCCTCCGCTGCCGCCTCCACCACCACTCCCACCGCTGCTGTCTCCTCCCCCACTGCCGCCACTAGTCTCCCCAGCCGCGCCTCCACTCCCACCGCCTCCACCCCCACCTCCTCCGCCACCACCCCCACCCCTGCCCCCCTTGTTCCTGCGGCGCCCGCTCGAAGCAGACGCGGTCCCGACCTTCTCAGCACCAAGAAGGTCGACAGCAGCAGCAGAGGCGACAGAGGGGAGGAGGGGGGAAGGGGAACACCCCTCAAAGAACGGGGTGCGGGGGTCGCCACGAGAGGTGCCTACAGCGACGATGCTCGCCTCAGCTGCAAGCAGTTCCTTCTCGAGGAGGGCAACAGTGAGCTCAGTGGGGGAGCGAGAGAGGAAGTGGTCCCTGACTGCGCGCAGAGAGTCAGGGAGGCGGGTGACGATGTGGTAGAGAGTGATCCAGAGCGGGGGGGGGTTGCTAGTGAGAAACTCGGCAGGCATAGCAGCGCGAAAGCGGGCCTCACTAGTCTTAAGGTGGGTGATGAGGTCTGCGACAGTGTGAAAGGAGGCTAGGTCGGGGAACAGGTAGGGGAGAGTGAGGCGGCCTAGCGTGGCAGAAGCGGGTGAGGAGTAGCGGGCAACTACAGCGGTGTAGAGGTCCTTAGCAGTCTTGCACTGGCCGAAGTGCTCGCGCTCGTCTAGCGGCAGGGAGTTGCGAATAGCAAAGCGAGCGTGCGCATCACGGGTCTGCCACTGGGAACGCAGAGTGCTGTCAGCAGACGAGTCAGGGGCAGTGGCATGGCCTAGGGCGTGGTCGTACAGTGAGATATCTTCCTTGGCAGTGAGCTGTAGGAACAGGTGCAGGTCATCTAGCCAGGTTTCGAATTTCACTGGGCGGCCCTCGGCATCGAAAGCTAGAACGGGAGGACTAGCCATAGTGACAGTAGCAGTAGTAGGAGAAACAGTAGCGGTAGCAGTAGTAGCAGTAGGAACAAGGCCGCTGGAAAGGTGTGCGCAGGGTCAACGGGGCCGGCGTGGTGCACGAGCGGCAGTAGTAGGGAGCGCGACAGCAGGAGCTGCAGCGGTGCGCGACCGAAGGGCAGGAGCTGCGGCGCACTAGCGGTAGCGGGCGACTCGCGGGCGGCGGCTGCAGAGGCGCACGGGCGGCAGCGGCTTATACGCACGGGCAGCAGCGCCGACAGCGCACGGGCGGCTGCAGCAGCGAGCGGTGCGCAAGCAGCAGCGGGAGCAGCGCACGGGTGGCAGCGGCGTCGGTGCACGGGCGGCAGCGGCGTCGGCGGACGGGCGGCTGCGGGCAACGGGCGTGCGGCAGCTGCGGCGGCGAGCTGCGGGCCTGCGGGGCCACGGCGGGGTGTGCGCGAGCGGGCGACGGGCGGCTGCAGCAGCGGGCGCGTCAGCGAGGCGCACAGGCAGCGCGCGGGCAGCGTGCGGGGCCGCGCGTAAAGAAAACAGCCGCGCGCGTGCGGCTAGCGGGGCGCGCGCAGCGAAATCGACCGCGCGCGGGCGGCTAGCGGGATACGCGCGCTAAAAAAAAGTCGAGTCGCGCGCGGGCGGCTGGCGGGCTGCGCGCGCGCGGTAGGTAGGAGGCGCACGAGGGCGCGTAGGCGCACGAGGCGCACGGTAGGTAGGTAGGTATGTAGGTAACGGTGGGCCCTAAGAACGGTCCTAGCGAAGGACCTGCTCTGAAACCATGTCAGAAATAACGGACTGGAATGATGAACTAGCAAGAATTGGGAGTACAAATGTGAAAACCTAATGCTGTGCCCCCCCTATAGGCTAACCCACTACAGCCTACACAAATACAACATGTACAATGTTTGACAGTAGCGGCTGCGGCGCACGAGCGGGAGCGGCTGCGGGCGACGCGCAGGCGGTAGCTGCAGCGGCGGGCCCGTGGTAGCGGCAGCTGCAGCGGGCGACAAGCAGGCGGCAGCTGCAGCGGGCGACGAGCGGGCGGCAGCAGCAGCGGGCGACGAGCGGGCGGCAGCTGCAGCGTGTGACGTGCGGGCGGCAGCAGCAGCGGGCGACGAGCGGGCGGCAGCTGCAGCGGGCGACGAGCGGGCAGGCGCTGCAGCGGGCGACGAGCGGGCGGCAGCAGCAGCGAGCGACGAGCGGGCGGCAGCTGCAGCGAGCGACGAGCGGGCGGCAGCAGCAGCGGGCGACGAGCGAGCGGCAGCTGCAGCGGGCGACGAGCGGGCGGCAGCAGCAGCGGGCGACGAGCGGGCGGCAGCTGCAGCGGGCGACGAGCGGGCAGGCGCTGCAGCGGGCGACGAGCGGGCGGCAGCAGCAGCGAGCGACGAGCGGGCGGCAGCTGCAGCGAGCGACGAGCGGGCGGCAGCAGCAGCGGGCGACGAACGGGCGGGCGCTGCAGCGGGCGGGCGGCAATGTGCAGGCCTGCGGGGCCGCTGCGGGCTGCGCTATAGCGGTGCGAGCGGCGCACGGGCGGCTAGCCGGTCGCGCTCAAAAGAAATCGGCCGCGCGCGGGCAGCTAGCGGGTCGCGCGCGGTTAAAAAATAAAAAAAGACGAGCCGCGCGCGATTGGCTGGCGGGCTGCGCGCGCGCGGTAGGTAGGAGGCGCACTGGGGCGCGTAGGCGCACGAGGGCGCACGGTAGGTAGGTAGGTAGGTAGGTAGCGGTGGGCCCTAAGAACGGTCCTAGCGAAGGACCTGCTCTGAAACCATGTCGGAATCAACAGACAGGAATGATTGAACTAACAGTGAAATCAGTACAAGTACCTAACCCTAGAATTGTGTACCCCCTATAGGCTAACCCACTGTAGCCTAAACAAACACAACATATATAATGTTTGACAGTTACGCCTTGTGCCTACGTTTCCGCACTTGCTGTAGACTTGCCTGTACTGTGATCTATATATATATACCTGCATGCTTGCTCTTGCTAGGTTGTGATCACTGTACTGTTGTTGTTGCATATATACCTCTGCATGTGAACTGGCCTTGTGGCCTTTGCTTGTGCTCAGAGTGTGGTGACGTTGTGATCCACCCTGAGCTTGCTTTGCTTCTCTTGACTGGTCTTGTGACCCCTTGTTCTCCCCCACTTTGCCTATGGGGGTGTGTCAAATTATATAGGTTATATTTGTGTAGGCTGTAGTGGGGTAGCTAATATGGGGTACATAACTTCTAGGGTTTCATATTTGTACCCAACTCTGATCTAGTTCACTCATTCGTGCGTAGTATTCTTGACAAGCCCGCCGTCGCCCCATACCCTATTGAGATGAATGACCTCTCTCGCACTAGCAAGAATCGAGGTGCACTAGGAATGAGACAAGTTGCAGTAGGAAGGATCGAGAATACAAACTGTAGGGATTTAGAAATCCTTACCGTAGCAGCGCGACCCGAAGGCCACGCGACCAATGGGTTCAGCCTACAATTCCGCATCCAAACCCCGCCCTAGTCGCCCCAGCCCCAATCACAACATTCCCGAGCCATCTTTGCCCGACTTTCTTTTATTTAGTCTCGCCTTTTAGTCTTGCATTCTGTAGTTTCACATTCTCGATATTCGTTATCGTGAGCATTTCAGTAATCGTTCATAACACATGGTATAAAAGCTACTTTCCTAGCACAGCTCGCTTTTAGAGTGTAATACCCCTCAAGAAGAGGACGAGGAAGGATGTGTGGGGTCTAGGAGTTGCGTGTAGGCCAGCTAGGAGAACGATTCATTTGCTCCTCGCGGCCATAACTTTATGGGGCACTCCTTGGCACCGCAGATCCTTGCCTTACACAGTCGCAATCGATCGTGACCTCCTTTTCCCCGTGCAACGAACGACTGTCAGCGGTCCTCAGGGCCCTTCGCGTCAGCGGTCCTCAGGGCCCAAAATAGGTTTAGGTCCACTCTTTCAAATCAGGGTTCCAGGCCCCCAGTACCCTGACTGTTAGGGTAAAATATTTCGTACCCTGCCAAAAACAGCCTAAAAAAACATGTACACTGATGTTATAAGGGTGAAATGTTTTTTTTCAAAAATATGTCGTTTTAGTGCTCAACTCAACAGAATTTGACTCAGCTAGTCAGATGTTAGGCTAGGTTTAGGAAGGTCGCGAGTTCGAATCTGGCTGGTGCACAATTTTTTTTGCGGCTTCGCAAGGAAAACCCTCCCTACAGAGGATTCGGTATCAGTGAAGTATACAGTGCACCCTGATATCGGCAGGGTAACAGAAATCGTTATCAGTGTAAATCAAATCTTAGCCTGTTTGCTCTAGGGTAAAAAAATTGATACCCTGTTTCTGCAAGGGTGACTAGGAAAAAGCGGCCTACCATCAGGGCAAAAAGGGTATTTTACCCTTGAAATTTGGGCCATGGCGGTCCTACGTCGGCACCTGCACGAACAACCTCGGCGTCGTCAACATGAGTTGCAGCTCGCGCCGTTGGACCTGGGTCAACGGCTGCGCAAAAATTTTGGACACGAGAGAACCTGCAATTGACGTCGGTGGCTTATTGTCAAATGTTGTAGCCTGTAGTGAGGTTTGTCTTAGGGGGTACAAAAGTTAGGGTTTGTTATATGTACCCCAAACCAACATCAATGCATCATTCATTCCTCAGTTTGACATGGTATCACCTAGGTTCGGATCCTGTGGGATCCCGCTCCTCCCGACCTCGTTCGTATCGCCCGAGCCTGTCTCCCTCTCTCGTACTACTTGCGCACGTCTTGCCCGAGCCTAGCGCCGGCCCGCTCTCGTCCCGTTCCTTCGTTACCGCCCGTTCCGCCGATCCCCTACTCGCCTAGCGTAGCCACCTTCCTCCCCCCTGCTGCCCGTCGCGTTTCCCCCCCCCCCCTTCGCTGCCCTTCGAGTAGCGTTTTTCCCCCCGCTGCCCGTCGAGTCGCGTTTTTCCCCCCGCTGCCCGTCGAGTCGCGTTTTCCCCCCCTGCTGCCCGTCGAATCGCGCCTTCCGTCGCGCTCTCCCCGCTCGTCCCGTCGCCCGCCCCCCCCCTACGCGCGTCGACGCGGCGCCTTCTCCCGTCGCCCGCCGTCGCGCCCGCAGACTGCGCCTGTCGCCGCGGCGCCCGCCGCCGCTGCCCGCCCCCGCGCACGTCGCTGCCGCGGCCGCTCCCGTCGCCCGTCGCTGCGCCCGCAGCCTGCGCTCGCCGCCGCTGCGCCCGCCGCAGCTGCGCGCCTTCGCGCACGTCGCGCGCGGCTGCCTTAATGCCCGCCCCCCGCGCCCGCGCGGCTGCCCTTAGCCCCCGCGCGGCTGCCCTTAACGCCCCCCCGTTGCGTAGCGCCAGGCCTATCCGCCCGCCCGCGCGTCCCTTCGCCCGCTCGCCCGCTGCGCCCGTGCCTCCCTTTCTCCCTCCGTGCTTGCGTGCCGCGCTGGCCGCCACGCCACCGAGTTTAGGGTTTCCTGCCTCCGCTTTCCCGTTAGTTTTCACTAAGGCGACTCCGCGTGTTCTTTGTTTCGACGCTGACGGTAGACCCCTTGACTTTTCACTCTGGCTTATGCGCGCTCGCCGTCAGTTAGAGAGTCAGGTCCAATCAGGCAAGACCCTCTGGGCGCACGCTACTGGTGCCCTCCCTGCGCCCCCCGACCCTACGCCTTTAGGCCCTGCCCCTGACGACGCCGCTAGAGCTCGCTTTGCTAGCCAGCGCGCTGACCTGACAGCTTGGACGTCGCGTGACGCTGCGGCCTGCATCGCGCTCAGCACCCTCCTCCCTGAGTCTGAGGAGGTCCACTTTACTCAGGTTCGCACTGCTGCTGAGTACCTGACTGCGATTAAGGCCCGCTACTCCACTCCTGCTGCTGTCTCTCTTGGCCGCCTTTTCCTCCCGTTCCTGTTCCCTGATCTCGCCTCATTTGAGCGCTCTGCTGACTTGATTGCTCACCTCCGCTCGCTCGACTTACCGCGCTGCTTGCACTGAGGCACAGCTTGCACTGCTTCCTCCTCCCATGACGATTTCTATCTAT